ATATATTATATATATATATATATATATATATATATATATATATATATACACACACACACACACACACACATATATAAAATACACATCACACACGCATAACATACGTACGTAACTATTGTAACACTTGTATAGGCTCTAGTATCTTATGGCATTAGATGCACAAATAGTTACTTAATTTATCAATTATAATCTAAAGGATGAAATAAGATGTATTTATATACAACTTATATGAATAGAATGTATGTTTGTATTTATTTTAATACTTTTAGATTTTAGACATCTATAAGTAACATGGAATCAGGATACATAATAAAGGATAACGCGAGGATTACTACAAAAGATGTACCAAACTTAAGTGCATTGTCAGAATGCATTTGTTACAGACCACATTCTAACATTATATGCAATGGTTGTGGATTTTGGACCAGAGGAAGAGTAAGATACCCTTGTTCTCAACATCCCAAGGTTATTAACAATATTATTTTAATATTACATTTCTTTCTTTTTATCCCTTAAAGTATGATCTTTCTCAATTAAATATAAATACAGTATTATGTAAACTCTAAATTTAAATGACATTGTCAATGCTATTACATTATTATTTTTTTCTTATATTACAGATAGTTTTCTTACATGATCATGCTCAGTGTCCAAGGTGTAAGAGCTATGACTTTATGCTTACAGAGATCTAAAGCAAATGTGACATTATTTTTGTTACTTTGATTAAAGTTATATACTAAACAAGTTAAACATAAGCAAGACAAATACAGAGAAGTTAAAAGTTGCTAATTAATTTGTTTAAATAAAGTTTATTTCTGTTATAACATTAAATGTGAGCAAACGAGTGAAGAAAGAAAATTCTATATACATACATATACATATATATACATATATATATATATATGTGTACGTACGTACGTGCGCGCGCGCGCGCGTGTGTGTGTGTGTGTGTGTATTACATATTACAATTAGATAGTAGGTTTTTTTGAAACAGATTAAAGTTTTTTGTATGTCTTTAACACATGATACTGAAAGTTATAGCCATTCATGTATTTGTTTAAAATATGTTTAATGTCCATGTGAACATCAAGATTAGCTTTTATCTTTTGTTGTACAATATGTTGTATGAACAATATTGATACATGAAAATGTTATTCTAGATAACGATTTGTCATCATAAATGATAAATTAACAAAATATCTTGACAGTAATCTTAGATAAAAGTGAATAAAACATTTTAAGAAATCACTATTTTCTTAATATTCTAACTTTTGTGTTCTGTCTTTTTTTCCATTGCTTTTAAGTAAAATGCCTATATCTAAAATCATATATAAGATCGACGAAACGTGAAATAACTTAATTATTACAAATGTATGCCAAAATATCTTTTTAATTTGATGAAATGTGAGCATATACACTTGTAACTTTATACATAATACATATTATCAGCGAATAAAAACATTTAAAAACAACCAGCAACTTCATCTTTCTTGTTTTTTGAACTGTAACTATAACTTATATAAATTTTATGCGTTACAATTGTAACTCAACATTGATAAAATATAATAATGGGACATAAATCTCAGATTAAATATTACAAATATAATATTATTTACAGCTGTCTTGCATCTGATATCGTGATAAATTTTAAAATGATTTTGACAATTTAAATTGAGCCCGATAGAGAAAGAGAATCAATCATCCGATTTTAAATATTATAAAAATTTTATTTTATGACAACCTAAACTTTCAAATTAGCTGAGATTTAATTAATCTTATCTTATTGATAATTACACTGCATATTTTTAGCTTAAAACTATGCGCAGTGAAGAAAAAAGAATTTTTCCAAATATGTAGTTACATATAACTATCAAATTACGCTATTTCATTTTTCAGCTATAATAAATTGTATTTATCTTTGTTTCTTTTCGTTTCATTTAGAGATGTTCGAAAGATCTTTTTGAATTAATATTAAAAATAATTAAAGAATTAAAAATATATAAACCAAGTAAATAATTATCCATGTTCCAAGGTAAACAAATACGTGCGCGAACATATTGCATAAAATACGAATTTTAATGATGCAGCATCCTATATTGCATCAATATAATATTGTCTTTTTATCTATAAAATATTTAACTAAATTGTGTAATTGAAAAATCTAATTAAATTTATATGTTGTTTTAAGCTTTACGCACAATGAATACAAGTAAGTATAAGTCCCGGTCACAATAGGTGATTTAAGTCTTAAGTCATAAGAAATGGACGAATCATAGTCGAAGATTAGGAGAATAATCGACTATGATTGGTCAATTTCTTATGGTTTAAGGCTTAAATCTATTGTAGATCGGGATTAATGGGTCTGTTCTTTTTAGCTGAACTGGCTGTACTAGTTCAGAGTTTATCTTTCTTCTTCCAGTGTAAGAAAGAAAGATAAACTGTGAACTAGTACAACCAGTTCAGCCAAAAAGAACAGGCTTAAAATATGCCTATCATCCCCACTATTAGTTGCATCTCGTATCATTTTTTCGAGCTATTTTGCTTTCGAGCGTTAGTAGTCTAGTTATATAGCAGTTTGTGGTTACATGCAAGGGTCTTTAACCTAGCTTAATCTTAAGTTTTAAACGAAAGTGTAATCGCTCGCAATAGACTTTTAAGTACAATACTGTACTTTCGTGAATTTTATTATGAATACTGAATGATAATTATTTGATTAATTGTTGTTTGAAAAATTGTTATTTTATTATTGCGAGTAATAATAATAGAAAAATTATATAGATTCCATGGCATTTCCACTAAATGATCAGGTCTATACGAAATCCTTTACTCCCAGAGAGTACGAGGTAAGTTATTTTGATATAATTGAAGAAAGAATTGAGAGATATGGAAATTATAAATAATATATATATGTATGTATATATATATACATATATATATATGTATATATATATATATATATATTTACACTATTTATATACATACACACCACACATTATACATATATATATATATATACACATTATTGGTGTACGATGTGTGTGTGTGTGTGTGTGTGTGTGTGTGTGTGTGTGTGTGTGTGTGTGTGTGTGTGTGTGTGTGTGTGTGTGTGTGTGTGTCGT